TGAGATAGTTAAAAATGGTTATTTTATCTTTCTAAACATGTCAGACTGCCTGCAGATCAGATCTGAGAGGCTCAATGTTAACATGGGGCAAGTTTGGTTAGTAGTCACCTATGTTATTGAGAAGATAATCAGCAGAGGTGAGTGCATACATGTAACCAGTATGATTGTGGATGGTTTGCATGGTAACTTTTCTGTGAATTTCCTGCTCATCACTCCTTATTAGTGCACCGTCCTTACTTCCTTTCTGCTAATAGCTGCCAACTACTCCATTATTATAAATAGAAATTAAGCTGACAGAGTTTTACTACATGGGAGTGAAAGGAAGCCTTACCTGAATTGTACTAGTTATTAAACTGGTCTTGCAGCAAGGCAAGAAAAAATTCATTCTACTGAGATTATCCAGATGTGTGCATAAGTAGTCTTTTGCTTGTTACACAACCTTTTGCTTGTTACACAACCGATGCTACCACATCTGGCTGTCTTAAGTATAATATATTGACTGCCTCCCAGCAAAGCTTGGTTTCACTGTCTGTTCCAGAGAAACAAAAACTTGCCTAATGCTGTACATTTGGGACATTGGTGAGCCTATGATGAATCAAGAATACAATTTGTTCTCACACTGGGTAAGCACTAAGAGTGAGGCTAAGTTGAATGCTTTTCTCACAGCATACCATCATAGTGCCACTGTTTTGTCTGCTTTTCCTAACAGGATAACTGGTGGTGGAGAGCCCTGTGGAGGCAAGCTACTGGGACTGAATGTTTTAAGTGCCCATGTGTCACTAGTGTTGGTAAGTAAGGAGGTCACAGTAATTTGGTGAGGTCTCCCATCTCTGTGGTATTTTTTTCATTGAGGTCACATACAAATCCTCTGGTCTAGGAGACAAAGGGGAAGATGCCCAGCTTCATGACTAGTCCCCCATACGTCATATGTAAGCATGTGTGCCACACTGGCTCATGAGGAAAAGAGAAGGAATGAATGGGGTTGGGAATCTGAGACCTGTGAGCCTCCATGTTTCCTTCCAACTCTCAGAAAATGCATTTGTTTATTTTGATTTTTACTTTGGATGGTTTTTGGTCCATGAGACTGGAGTTACACTGTCTGTAGTTCCTTCTGCTTGCTAGAAAGGTTCTTCTTTCAGGATGGAGGTGAACATAAATTCCAAAAGAAAGTTTTAATTCTGTTTCTGACATGAACTTTGGGCCAGATTTCAAACCTGGAGGGAGAGGGGTCAGCTGTGTTTGCAAGTCCAAAGATTAGATGCAAAAAATCAAGTGTTTAGAGTAACATCCAAGAAGAGGTACTTGTAGATTTGTTACTACACATTATTTAATTCAGCTATGACACAAAGATTTTCTGAAATAACTTCAAGTGTCAATATGAATAGCAAATTCTCATAGCTTGAACCCACAGAAGCAGGTATTAATGGATGATTAATTCTTAAATTTGGTGTAATAATACCTCTAAAGTAGTATTTTCTGTTTGTTTCTTTGGTTTTAAGAGAAAAAGTCACATTTACCCAGTTAGGACTCTCCAGCCTTTTGTCAAGTGTCCAGGTTAACACATTTCAGTCAACACAGGCATATTCTGTCAAAACTTGTGGGAAATGCTGATTCAGGTTAAGGCAGAGCCCACAAGGCGCTGAACTAATTGTGCAATGCTTTATCTGGAAAAATGACTTCCTGATTCCTGCATTAGCTGCCAGTGCTTCGAAACATGATGTTTGAGTATCTATATTGTGTATTTACCTGCCATATAAAAGTATTAAGCTTATAAATAGAATTTGTAATATTCACATTTTTTATATAGATTTATGTGTTCAGATTTAACTATAATATTCAATTTCTCTCATCACTTTTACACAATATTCTGCCTCTCATCAAGGGATTATTCTCGAAGAATCATGGAATCGTAGAATAGTTAGGGTTGGAAAGGACCTTAAGATCATCTACTTCCAACCTCCCTGCCATGGGCAGGGACACCTCGCTCTAAACCAGGTCCCCCAAGGCTCTGTCCAACCTGGCCTTGGACACCGCCAGGGATGGAGCATTCACAGCTTCAATTCATACACACTTCTAGATTTTTTAATGTTTAAAATGCCATAATGCCATCCACCTCCTCAGAGCATTCATTTCTATTTGTGAATTCCTTGTTCTGAGAGATGCTGAGTAGTGCCCATGTAGCTGGAAAATTGTGCAATGAATTTCTAATACGCTGAGCTGTTTGAGCAGACTGAAATGCAAGCTGTAAGCAGATAGTGAAAATGGCTGTAAATCTCTAAGTTTGGGAACATGTACACAGCTTTATTGATCTGAGACTTTATAAGCAATGTAGACTATTTAATAGCATATTTGATTGCCTCAGAATAGATGTGGTTATATGAAGTTTACCCCAGAGTGTTTTGACATAATGTCAGGAAAATGGCTTTTGATGGAAACTCTGTTGATGAAAACTACCCTCAAAATGCATTTTTGTAGAGCAGGCTGAATAACCAGTTACGTATCAGACGTATGTTTATGTTTGGGAGCCAGAGATGTTTCTCATGGGGGGAATATCTTGGAGCCTTTCAGTCAGGTAAACCCTGCTATCCTGCAGGAATTCAGGATCTGGCAGATGCCTAAAGACCCTTGGACATATACATCCCGATAAGGTTTAGCACATGAGGATTTCTGAAAGGAGTGGAGTTTATACCACCAGAGGCCAGAGGGGACCTCTGGAGGGGTTTTATTAAACCCCTGTTTTTTATTCCTGTTAAAGACCACCTATACTTTTGCGTAGCTGGCAGACTAATAATGCAGCTGGGTTGAACAAGTGTTGATTTAATTTCTACATGGTTCAGTGCCACATTTTTGGAGGTGAGCAAAGGGGCAGCTACAGGAAATGAAGTATACAAACATGTCACAGAACAGATCTGTCTCTGTTACGGGACACTACCCATGCTAATCTGTAGAAGTATACTTGAAAGTCCTGTTTGTTTAGGTTTACACCAAAACATGGTTTTGCCAAGTGCTTACAGCCAATGGAGAATCAGTTCCTGGGGTGTGCAGTACACTAGTGTGTGATGGCATCTCAGAGTTTGCTGGTGTATCAAAGGCTCATAGCATTGCAGGGAGCTTATTCTTTTAGGTAGAAGATGTTGGAATAGCCTCAGATGGGAAGTTTTTCCGTGCTGTCTTGGATAACAAGATTAAGAAAAAAAACTCCCACAATTTAAATAAATCAGATGTTTTTGCTGAAGATTATGCTGTCATTTTCTCCAATTATTCTTGACATTTCACCCGTGCATATTGTGATCTGAGTTAATAATGGAAGAAACACCAGCTTTCGTTGCCTTGTTTATTCTTTGTTCTCAAGGAGATAAGCTGTTTATAAAGATAACATATTTGTTATTTAAATCACTTTTACTGAAGTTGTTTCCTTGTTTGAGTTTCTAAAAATATTGCAACAATTGTGATTCATCTTTGAGTTGGCTGTTCAATTCACTATGATTTGTACTGGAATACTGGAATTCATTCCTAAATAGGCACAGGTGTTGATAGCTATTACATGCTAGAATGAGTCAAAACCAATAAATGCTCAATAAAGGCAAGATGAAAGGAAATGCACTGAAACCAGCTCTTTCAAGATGTGATAAATTGGCACTTTAGTTCACTACTAAATTAGTTATGTACTGAAGATGTGTCTGGAGCAACTACATATTTTAAAACAGCTGAACATGTTAGAACATAACTTCAATCACTTAATATTTTCCAGATCATAAACATTATTTTTAAAATTAGCAATACTGTTCAGCATATAATCAACTTTTGTTTCCAAGCTGTTCTGTACTGCTCTGTTGTAACATTTTGCTATAGCATTATTAAGAAAACCCAAAAAAGGTTAATAGTCTATGAGAATTACTTGCCGGCTTTTCTCATGTCACACAGAAATTTAATGCTAGAACAAGACATGGAAATTCTGACATTGCAAAAGTAAAAGTCAGTTAAAGCATTTCCTTTGTGCTTTTGCCAGGAGCAGACATTTTATTACCTATTTCTTGCACAATGCACTCCGCAGGGAACATCTGAAGCTCCATCCTGACCTTGGGATGCATTTCTGATGGGAATGGAGCACTGGCCAGCAAACAGGCAGGTGTTACAGTTACTGATTCAGGAGTGCCAGTGCCTTTCCCTTGGAGCACAGGCTTTTTGCCTTGCACCTTCCTGTCAAAAGAGCTTCACAGTCACAGCGGAGATGGTGGGATAAGACAGTTGGGTATCTACCAAAGGAGGCAGGCGGCCAGCATTCTTCCGAGGAAGGCTCAGGAGCTCTACTTGGGAATCTTAACTGATACTTCCAAGGACAAGGCTTACAGTGTGCTAAGCATGCAGTGGTTAGCTGGGACTGAATCAGCTCCTAGAGTTTTGCATAACCTTCAGGGAATTCTGCTTTTATATTAACCCGTCTTGCTGTTGAGGTTTAGATACATATTTATAGACATAGAAGTGGTTGTACTGCTAACATGCAGATAACGCTATAGTAACTCTGGTCAGAAATATTTGTTCTTAATATTTTAACTACGTTTTTCCTTAATATTTTGTGGTTTGTGCTTTTAAACATAAACAGCACAAGTTAGAAATCACCGACAAATGCTAGCTCAATTGCCAAGACTCCTCAGCGACAGCCAAACTGGCCTGAAGGCAGCCGCACCGGCCCACAGCCACGGCGCAGCACGGTACAGGTCGCAGGCGGCAAGCACGTAGTTTGGAGATCTGAGTTCGTGGATGCAGCAGTAAGGTGCTATAAACGGCACCAATGTGGCATTTGGTGGGTCTGCCTCTGGAGTGCCATTTGTGACGGGTGGCCGGAGGGGCTGCGCGGCCCTTGGCCGAGTTCGGCCGGTTCCCCAGGGGCTCGCCAGCAGCCTGCGGCTCGGTCTGGGGGTCAGAGGAAGGGAGGGAGAGGAGCTGAGAACCCCCACCGGACCTGCTCGCTCGGCACCATCCGAGGCCCGACCCTCAGCGACCACGACCGTCTCCCTGGCAGTGCCGAGACTCTATTTCCCAGCGCACCCCGCGTCCCCGCCGCAAAAGCCGGGCCGGGAAGATGGCGGCGCCCATGTCGCCCTTGGTTACTGTGCGCTGCCTGCTGCGGGCTTCGGCGCGGCGCGCCGGCCGCCTGCTACAGGTGCCGGCCGCCGCCCTGCGTCGAGGTCAGTACCGCGGAGGTCCCTGCGCCCTTTCCTGCTTGCAGCCGGGCGAAGGGAGGGCGAGCGACAGGTTGCAGTGGCACCGCGTAGGGAGCGTGCCGTGGAGCGACCGCGGTAGCCGGTGCGTCCCTTCCCGCCGCGCTGCGGATCTCCCCTCTCGCAGAGGGGTCTGGGCTGAAGGGTAGGGGACCGCGCACCGGTCCCTCCGCTCTGGTATGACCTGACCGTGTCCTCATGTTGCCCGCCGTGCAGGCCGGGGCGGCCTCTCCGCAGCCAGTTCCACAGGGACCCCGCGTACCCGGGCTGTGCGGCCGGGCTGGTGCCAGGAGTGAGCCTCGGGGCCCTGGAGTAGAGGGGGATGCGGGTTTAACGATGCCGCTGCCCCCCAGTAAATAGACCTGCAGCGCGACGCCTCGTTAAATGCCTTACGCTGCGGGTGCACCGGGACCTTGGCGGGCGGCGGGTGCACTGGGGTCGGCCAGAGCTTTTACTGTGCTTCAGGGTGTTGAGGGACTTTGCTCTTAAGGATCCTCCAGTGTATAACAACAGCTGAGCTCTGTCTGGCAGTCTTACTTTAACAGCGGCACCATAGACAAATTTATGGGTAACTAGGTTTTGTTAACTTATGGCTTAGGTTAGTAGCACAGGTCTGTTTTCTTCAGTGAGAGCTATTCGTCCTCTGCCAGGCTGACAGATGTGTGAGAGTTCAGTTAACGTCAGGTGGGTCCCAGAGGTCTGAAGGTCAGACAGCAGATCCAGGAGAATTTAAATGTAAATGTGGACATACACGTATTACATTGCAATTGTACAGTATTTATTCGTCCTGAGGAACATAGACAAGCACTGCAGATAGTACTATAGTTGTATGTGTTTTATTTGATACTGGTTTAACACTTTACATAGGTTGGTTTTTTGTAACCAACGTATTACCATTTTAAAAAAGTTGTCAGAGCAAATCAAGTGGCTTTAGGCAGTGCTTCAGCTTCCATGTTAAAGGGAAGATTGTCCTTACATATGTTGTTTGAGGACACCTGCAGGGGTAGGCAGCCATCAGTGAATTGGTTTCTAATCTTGGTTTTATGATCACTGGCTTATAGTCCTTTTTGCTTTCTACACTTCTGTATCTTCTTAATTAAAAGACTTCGCAAATAGTATTTGTGTAAAGTTGCAATTTCACTGACAAACGTTTCTTCTGCTTTCATTTGTACATCAGATTGTTAAGTGAGGTGTGCATTGAAATAGTACGAGTAATCTTATTTCAGAGTAATGTCTAGTGTTTGTGAAAAGCTCTCAAGGCAAAATTCTGTGTGCTAAGTGGTAATAAACCAGATGCAGTTCCTGTATGTTGCATTAACATTGGCTTAGCAGAAGCTGTTCCAGCTTCTTGAGTGTGTCTGTCAGCAAGGGTGGCAGTTAACAACTTAGGGTTGTTAACTTTGGTGTAGTTGTAGCCTCCGAGAGTTCGGTTTAGATGCAGTTCTCAAACAACTATTAATGGGAAATGTTTTTTATTTTTAAGAGAAACAGTAATTAACCATTACAGCAGAGTGTCATAGAAAATAGTTAATTCTCCATCTCTTATGTCTTCAGAATATATTTTCTTCAAAGTATGCTGTAAGCAAGCACAATTTTTGAGTGTGGTTCAGGGGTAATTAGATAAATTTAGCTTTCCTTATATTTGGAAAGGTCAGTGTTGTCCTCAAGCCTTAAGCTCCATGAATGAAAACTATTTCTGATCATTCTTATGAGGGAGTGGTTTGAAGCATATATACAGCACAATGATTAAAAGTGATATATTTTTTTTCCTATAAGTCCCTTGAAGTGCTTGTTTCAACTTTGTTTCCTGAATTGATAACAACAGGTTTTCATGTGCACTGTGTGTGAGTGACCCTCTAGTGAGGTGAATATTGTAATCTGAAGAATGACTCTCCTTTTGCGATAAAAGGAGTTCAGTTCCATTTGTTTGATCTTTGCTTCTTTAACTGGATATTATCTGTCTGTCATGGTTTTTGTTTTTCACCCCATTAAAGGTCTACAATTCTAATCATGTGTTTAAAAGATGTTTAGTTTGAATGCAGTAAGAGATCCTACAGGATAAATTTGAATTAATCTGTGGAAGTACAATATTTTATCTCTCCCAGAAGTGAACAGTCCTCTTAAATTTGCATGGAATCTTTTTGTGTTTCTTGAAAACTCACAGATTAATGAATGCAAAGGTATTGGTTTCTGCAGTCATAGAAAGATAGCAAGGATGAAATACATGTCAGGGAAGGCCAGTTTCTTTTCCTAGGCCCTGAAGTAAAGGGATACAAGGACTTGCTAGGATTTTTGTCTTGGGAATTATCTTCTGACAGATTTTGGACATTGCAGTTCAAAACCTTATAGAAATCCAGCTACGGGAGAAAAAGTAAGGGTTACCACGGTGAGTGCTGTTTATCTTGGTTACCATTCTGTGCTCTCAACTTCCTGGCTGTTGTCAAGATCAGTTTTTGATATGCCACAACCTAGCTTCCATTTCAGAGTATATTCTTACATAAGTAACTCTAGTGCCTGCCTCAGCTGTGACTGTTGCTCTCCTAAGTGGTATCATTGAAACTCGCATGCCTTTTTCCTGTGTCATATCAGACGTCACTTCTAAGTGGCAGTAGGAAAACCAGACAACATACTGATTAGTTTTTCAATTTACTGCTCTTTTCTCGAGCAGAAGGTCTCTGGCATTAAGAACACTTTTAATATTTTTATGTAGGTACTTAGTGGTAAACTAATGCCAGTTTACTGAAGGTGATTGAAGCTCCCCATTGTAAAGGAAATTTTTATAATTTAGATTGGAATTTTCATTGGGTATTTATACATTAAGATTTTAATTTTTTTTTTCCTTTGGTGAGTTTTTCCCCTTGTATTTCTCTAAAGGAGGACTTTTTTGTGTATATCACAGTGGGTCCTCATGGCAGCTTTGTCTGTGACCCTTGCATAGGTAAGCAGAAAGGCAAATACAAGCAGCTGATTTTATTATTTGAAGTAAAGTGAGATTACACTGAAATGTATATGTTTTAGGAACAGGAATTTAAGAAAAAGTTACAACCTGGTGGCAGCTTTTAGAGAAGCAGGGGGTGTCAGGCTAAATGTGGTAGCATCTAGCACTGTCCTGCACCACGAAGGTGGGAAAGATAGGTTATGGATAGATGCATGTCTGTAGTTTTACACTGTTTTGTAAGACTAGGTGGACAATGAGTCGACACTGTGCTCTTCTATAGTCATATCTAGAACACTACATAGAGAGAGAAGATGCTTCTGGCTATGTGTAACACTTAAAAGATTTCAGAAGGTAGCTAATAAAAATCAAGTAACAGTTTAGACAATGAAACATCAAGTTACAGATCAGACAGTGAAACAGGAAGATGTAAATGAAAACCCGTCTTTGACAATATGGAAGTTTTGTACCTGCTTAAAAGTAATTTCATTTGCAGTTTACTTTCCTACTTTATATATGAGAATGCTGTGTGACTCAATGACAAAAGTATTACTGCAATTAATTTGTTTTTCTTCTACCCCCTAAGCATGTTACCTGACCAGAGAGGAAAACATGATGTTGCTTTGTTCCATAGGAGCTGCCTTTTGTTATATTGTTATTTTGTTAAGCGCTTTGTAAAAAAAAAAAAAGGAAAAAAGTGCTTGTACTTGTTCTGGTATTTTTGAGTGTTTAGAAGTTGTATGGTCTGACCCACGAACTTCTGGATTTGCCTTTCCCTCCTTTTTGAAGACAAAGGTTGCTTCCTTTTCCTAGTGTTCTGGAACCTCACCTGTCCTGAGTGAGGCCTCTGAGAAAGCTGTTAGAGGCTGTTGTGTTGCTTAGGAAACTTGCCTAAAGCATTTAAGGATCAATTTCCTTAGATCTCACGGTGTTCAAAATATTTAACTATGTGGCCTATGATACCTGTTTTTCCTACTTAAATCTATTGCTTTTATCATTGCTACAATTGTGTTACAATTGTTGACAGTGGAAGTGAAGAAGGTATTAAGCAGCTTTTTACTGATGTAGCAAGTCTTTGTAATCCTGTATATTCTTTCCTTTTATTTCATTTTATGTCCAATAGTTCTGGGTTTGTTTTTTTTTTTTTTTTTTCTTTTGCAGACAGAATTCCTCCTTGGGCAGAAATTGTCTTCTAGGCAGAAGATAATGCCAGCAGAGCAGGATGTGGCATTTCAGGGCTTCACAGCTATTGCCTTGCTTAGTGTGCTCTTTGACTCTTTCAGCTTTCTTACAGAATTCCTGTTTGCTCTCCTGTTTGCTGGCTTTTAAATACTTTTTGCATAGTTTAACCCACCTCTGTTTAACAGATGAATTTGTTCAGAGAAATGTAGTTTGAAATCTTTTAATGGTTTTGTCCCCATTTGAAAAAAAAACAAAAAACAACAAAATAAAAAGAAAAAAATATCAAAACTTCTCTTGCAACTTCTCATCCAAATCTTACCAACACTCCAGCTCGACATTTTAGTGTATGTGCTTGTTAATAATAAAAATAAATGTTAAAACATGCTATTAGTGGTGTTTACTGCTGAAGTTAGAAGTTGATTTAGTGAAAAACAAAGGGTAATGTGCTTTAGTGGTTGTATAGGTAGGTAACATATATACATCTTTAACTGTTAATGTATGTTATTTATGACTATAAAAAGGTGCTTTTCAAAACATTTCTGTTAATTGCCTTCTTTTCATTTTACAGCATACACAGCTCAGGCAGGTGAGAAGACAGTCCCTGGTACTCCTGCAGATGCTAATGCCAGAGCCTTATTGGTTTGCAGTGGACCTTTAGAACATTATGACTTTCTGATTAAGCAAAAAGAGCTGAAGAATGATGAGCATCAAAGAAGAGTCGTGCAGCACCTGCAGAAGTTGCACGAGAGCCTTAAAGGCTACAGCATCAGTTCAAAAAATCTTCTCTCAAAGGTGAGGTTTATAATGATATTTTTTTTTAGTTATATTTTCTCATAAGAATATGATTGAAATACAGAAATTTCTGTAATTAACATGGATCTTATTTTTGCAGCTGAGTCTTTACCGGTAGCTCATTCTTCATGTTTGGATCTCTGTTCTTTCCTTTTTTGGTTTGTAAAATTCCAGTGGCACTCTAGAAGTAACCCCATTAAATATTACTGAAATAATTGTGTAAGAAAATCTGATACGGTTTAGGTTATGTCCCCTGTCTGCCTTTCCGAAAATGTCATTTGACTGCAGGAGAGAGGGGCTAGACTGTGTATAACACATGTATTTTGGTTACATGTACTGAATGCTAATGTTTTGTGTTCTAACAGATCTTCCACAAATGCAATTAGCCAGCAGTCTAAATAATTTAGCTTTGCAAAACATAATAATATCAATCAGACATGACTTTTTGAAAAAAGGTCTGTATTTTCCAGTGTTGTTAGTCTCCAGGTGAGGTAAGGAAAGAAGGCAGAGGTGTGATCTGCACCCCAGTTGTGTTTTTGGGAACGTCACAGCTCCTTTTCAATGGATTAACAGAAATTCAGACATACCCATTTTGCTCAGTGCCTTAGCAACTCTAGTGCCTTAGCATTAGTCATTGTGATAGCCTACACTTCTGTAACTTTCCCCTGAAGCTGCTGAGGAAATGTTTTCCAGAGCCTCTGTAGCAGTATTTTTCATATCTTGTTCTCATGCCTTTATTCTCAGATTGTTGCTGTTGTGGCCTTGCAGCTGCAAATATTGATAGCATTGTTATGACAGGTTCTCATGGGAAGCACCTAGAACTGGTGTGAGAATCAACCCTCAGCTTTCCTTGCCTCTTGTTTTGTAGATTTGAGTTTATATCCCAGAAAACCAAACACACAATGCCCAGCAAAGAAGATAAGACATTTCATTACTTGGTAAATTTTATTCAATTATAGATGTGCACAGAAGCTGAATAACCTGTGAATATGCTTCATTTGCACCTTAGTAACACTCCAGTCAGCATAAATATCTTATGACGAACATGGTGAGGGGAAACAACAAGAACAGGGTGTTCGACTAAGTCTAATAAAAGTACAGTGCTGAGAAAAAAGCATGGCAAAATATTCATTGCCATCATCATCTTTACTTTCCCTGTCTGCACTGGAGAGACACCTTCCTGTTCCTAAGAGAAGGATGTACAGAAGCTGTCATTGCTCTTCCCAGTCCACCACTGGGTGTTTTCCTTTTCTTTCTCTGTTTCTCTTGCCCCACTTTTGTTTTTATTTTTCATCAGAAGTAATTTTCACATTTACAGCTGTCAGCTGCAGGCCTTGCTTATAAATCTCCATGTTAGACTTTCTCAGCATCAGTTATGCAACACACCTCATCTCATGGGCATAAATCTAAACAACTCTACTGAACTTGTTACCTACCCATACATTTCCTATTACAACCCCAGATTGTCCTATACCTAGCACAGATACTGTATTTTGTTTGCATGGCAAGCCTAAATGATGAAGCATGAGATCATGAAAGCCAGAGCTACAGGGCTCAAGTGCCCCTAAATGGAGGCTCTCTGTCCATTTACATAAATGCTGTCCTCTGCCCTTTATGCTGTATTATAATATATTATCTTGGCTTCAAGGCGTGAAAAAAGGAAGTGGAGAAAAGAACATTGGTATGAGAGAAAGCATTATCTTTTGGACATACTGCCAGACTTTTACTCATTTTTATTCTTTAGAAAAAAAAGTTGTGATGAAGGTGCTGGTGTTACTATCAAAGGCTAGAGCATTTCGATCTTTTCTGGTAAATTGTTTTGGACATATAGATAGTCTGTTCTAAGAGTGCTGTCTTTGAGAACAGTTTTGAGAGCTGACTTGTGTTAACTAGAGTGCCCTGAATCATTATAGTTGTTAGAGCAGTTGTCTAGTAATAGCTTTGTAGATAAAGCATTATGTAGGTTTTTTATTTACTGTTTCTTTGATTGCAAAGCATGAATAGGGAGGAAAGTCTCTATTGCAGAGAACAAATACTAATCGTATTTTATTTAGGAAATTGTGATGCTGCTTTGTCCCTGTATAACACAGCTAATCGCAGTAAAGCCAAACTGACACTTCGTTAAGGGGAGAAGTCAAATGCTATTCTTTAGGTTGAGAATGTTTTTCCCTAGTTTCTTTAAAGCACTCCTGTCTTTTCTGAGAGTGATGCTCTCATTTAACATTGCTTCAATTCCGTGCTTTATTTTTAAACCAACTTTTAAAAATTGCTGCATGGCTCACCAATACCTGGGAACTAATGCCACATTTCGTGAGAAGCAGCTGTAGAACTACTTGCTATTGAGATAAGTGTTACTGCATTTTGAGGTTTTTCTGTTACAGATTGATATCTCTGTATAAACCTTAAGAAGACTGATAACCAGGTTGAACACTATAGTGCTGTGCCAGGTATCAAAACCCCAGAAAAGGAGGAGAGCAATGAGATTTGTGTAAATCTTTTAAAGCCTGCTAGCTTGTGTAATTAAATCAAATTGTGATTAATGATGGAGGAGAAGTTGCAACAACTTTTTCTCTTCTGCTGTCTTTGAGGAAGTTACTTGCTTGTTCAAACAGAGTCCCTCTTTATGTGAAATGAAGCCAAATAAATACTGTTTAAATTCTAGTACAGGCCAAGTTTTGCTTCAGCAAAGTTGTAATGAACATCTTTAATGAAAGTCTTTCCCAGAATCAGTCACAGCTGTGACTAGGTACTTGGTAAAATCATAAGCATCTAGCACTGTACCAGCTGTAGACAGTGGCATCATGTTTATCATATATCTGTATCTATCAAGTTTCCTAAGTAAGCTAAATGTATGTTTTGCTGTGGTAGACTTTCAGGGTAGGGATGTTGCTGCAGGCTTGGTTCAGTTTTGAAGGTTAGAACTAAAGGCTTTTTGTGCCAAGAAGAGGTGGTGGGTACTGCTCTCTGGAACTGGCCTGTGTTGAACAGGGTTTGTGTAAGCTTTTAAGTGGAAGGAGTTCCTGTAATTAGCAAAGCATCTTCAGGAAGTACTAATGATAGCAGGGTGCAGGTAAATCCTGTATTAGTGAATAGTGTTGTAACTCTCCTCCCATGAAGGCGTGCTACTTTGAAACTTTGAATATACTGGGAAGCAAAAGATAAACCTTATGCTATAGACGTTCAATTGTTTTTATGATAAAATGATTGACATTGGTTTTGCTTAATGTTTTGTACTTAATGAGTTTTAACAGCTGTTAATTAAACTGATGTAAATTACCTAAGGACTTTTTGGGAATAAATCAGACACTTTAATCAGTTACACATAGGAATCTGTAGATTGACTTTTTGCTTTTTCAGGTTTCTAGCAGCCTGGTTAACCTAATTTAAATACAAAATCTCCTGCACTGAAAAGAATTTACTGACAGCTTTTTAGAAATAAAAAATCAGTAGTGCTTGGCATTTCAGGTATGCTGCTTTTTCCTGGCTCTGCACCTGAAAAGAATGTGGTTGAGAAGTTGCAGTGAAGAAAAGGGGAAAGAAAAAGGGAGAAAAGCCTCTTCTGTAGTCTGATATTTCTTATTTTATTGCCTGATTTCTTTAATGATACATTTGCAGAAACCTCTTCCTAAGTAATAGTTATTCCAGAAATAGAAATTTCTGAACTATTACAAGACTGGTCTGCTTTGGTTTTAGTTCTGTTCTTAATTTGTCACTTTCTATCTAAATAGTTTTATTCAATAAAAATATGGTAGAAGTAGGATTAGGGAACAAATACTTTTATCAGGTAAAATGGAAACATTTCAGTGTTTGTGTAAGAGGCTTGCATTACCTCACAGGGCAAAGCTTTCTGTAATCGGTAGTTTGGGGTGGGACAGGACAGGATATGACAGGGATGACACCACACCAGCTGTTTCCTTTATGATAGTAAAACTCTCTATTTTTTTACGATGTAGATTTTGTGGGGCATCAGCATAGGATGAATCTGAGTAGAAAAACCAGTCTTGCTGCAAACCAAGTAGGCTTCTGTTTTTCAGAATTACTGAAATTTGAACAATGACTTTGATCTTGAGCTTGGTGAAAGCATGGCCTTTTATACTGAGATATTTTGAGATGCTCTGAATTGAAGTTCAAGGCTATAAGAGTTTGCATAGTCATTTCAGATGTCTAGCTTTTCAAAATAATACCAATTGGGACATCTTAAGAGTTGCTGAGTTGCTGTACTAATGACTTGAAATAAGCTCAATTATAAGTGAGGTCATGTTTTCAAAAGAGGTATGAACAATAGTAAACACCATTCAAGACCTTGAAAATGTCTTCAGCTACAACAGCAGCCAAAAAGGAGGCCTGAAAAGTGGGAAAAAGAGCCAGTTGTTAGTGTTAAAAAAAAAATCTGCTCTTTGGAGGCTCGTCTCTTGAATTTTGCTTATTTTAATTAACCATCTTAGTATTGATGTGTGTTTTTAGTTGATAGTTTTTCAAATCAAAGTGTAAATGTTCCCAGGAAATGAGTTGCTTGCTTCTGGTGTCTGAAGTAATGAGCATGGGAGAAGGTGGGAAAACATTGCACATTGTTGAATGTATTTAGTAAAGAATAGGAAGTTGCCAGAATGAAGATGTTTTGACCAGTATAATTCCTTAGATGAGGTAGGATATTGATTGATTAAAGTGCAGTTTAAATAAAAAAAGAAAAATCTGATGCAGTAGAATCAAAGCACGACATGCAGTTTTGAAACAGAAGTGTGCAAAAACATTTTGATAGTAGAGGTGAGAATTCTGTAAATCTGAGGACACTCTGTGTATCAACTTGTGGAATTGTAAATGTTTTAGCACATGAATGATTTTCAAAGAAAAGTGTGCAAGTCAACTGATCTGTAAAAGAGCTCCTGCTGTATGTGGCATGTCCTGATGATAATGAAACTTGGTGAAGCACTTAAGTTACGCTGTCTTAAATTATTGTGGGATAAAAAATGCTACAGGAATTAAGAAACTTGGAAGGCTCAAGGAATTTTACATGTATGGTGATGCCCTCATTTGAAAGGATGCGGTGACCTTTCAAAATACACATATAAGGATTTCAGAATTTTCCCCTTCAAACAGAATTTTTGTGCATTCTTTAATACCTTTTGTACATTACAAGTATTTCTTTAGCATCTTAAAATCTTACCATTGTTGCAAAAGCAAATCTATTGTCAACCGATTGAACATTGTTATCCTGAGGCCCCAAATACACCTTGGGATAACATGGAAGTGAGGAGCAAGGAGGAGCTCATTTATTTAGCTTGTCTTCCTACATCTTCCACTTTCCTCCTTTCCCTCCCTGAAATAAGTAAGTTTGGCCTTATTTTAGGGTAACTGGAGGATCTTCTGTGTTAGATCTCCCCCCAGTTTCTTCTTTTGGAGTATGTGTTTCAATGAAACCAAGATCAGTCATCTGCTTTCTTCACCCCCACGTACCATTGACTTTCTTGACTGCTTTTGTGCTCTAACGTGAACCAAGAGCATTGTCTGGATTTTATTAGAAATCCTAATGAAAGTTGCTCTTTTTCTTATGCAACTTTCAGGCTTCAGAAGATGCATGAGAATAATTAAAAAATAAATTATAACAAAAAATCCATTTTATGATCATGCAGAATAGCTTGAAACTGGTAGGATGTCTGAGTTTCAGTGTTAAAAATCTACTGATGGAGTTTGCTTTTCAAAATTAAATATTTTTTAAAACAAAACCAACCAACCAACCAAAAAAAAACCAAAACAAAAACCAACCCAAAAATACAAAAATAAATTGTTAGTGTTACACCTGACAGGATTGAGGAAGTGGGTATCTAAAGGTGTCAACAGTGTCACTCTGACAGAAGTACGTGTAAACCAAACTCTTTTAGTTTCTCAGAGGGTAAGAGTTTTTCTGCCATTTGATTTGTGTTTGGAAATGATCAGCTTCAGCGAGTTTGTTTGGGTCTGCCACTGTATCAGTCCATTTATTTTTCCCAACAAATATCTCTCAAAAATTGCTGTCTTCACAGGAAAAAAAATAAAATCAATTTATTAAATCAACCAGAAGTTGACTGTTATGGAGCTCAGCCATTATAATTGTTTCCTTTAAACAAAAAACCCACTTTTTCTGTAGCATGTTTTCTAGAAATGGAGTAATAAAATATGTGTAAAAAGACAAATGTCAGGATGGTTAAATGTAATTAATAAAAACTTTGCAATTAATAAAATAGTGTAAAAATTGAGGCATTAGTACTTGTTCTGGTTCTATAACTTTTACAAAGAGAGGTAAACCAGTAATCTAAACCTTGATTTGTTTTCTGGTTTTATTGTCATTCCTTGTGAAACTGCAAATCTCATTAATATACAGTGTTTTTAGGTAATACCTTTAATGTGGTAGTCTTATTATAATGATTGTCGTTAGTCTCAATTTAAAAAGAAATAAATTCTTACAAACATCTTATTTTAATTTTTTTCTATTTTTCTTTTCTTCGCTGTGTAACTTCGAGCATCAGTAGTTTTAATGAGTGCAAACTCTTAAAAAGTACACGCTGAAAAATGTTTTGTCAAGTTGCCTTGCAGTGCTTTTGGAGCCCTAGCAAATAGTTGCAGCCTTGTCTATTAATGGAATGGTTTCAGACATTCTGAAACCCTGTTCAGCCACAGATTGATGACACAAATTTTTGATGATCCAACCAATGTAACTCTAAATTAAATCTATAAGTGGGTCTTATATAAGAGCTATGCTTGCGTATTTTCTGAATAAACTGGTATTAAATATCCTTCTACCTTTGGTCTTATATTTTCTTTCATGTTTAATTGGTGTTTTGCTACTGACTCTCCCATTTCTTTAACATGGCACTGTATTTTGAAAAGTGCTTTAGATTCAAGTTGTTTAGCAATTACCCAGCTCCAAATGAGACCACAGAGCTGCAATTTTAATTTTCCTCTGTTTTGGCTCAGCTCATAGAACTCTGAAAGTGGAGCACTTTAAAACAACCACATACTCTTCTGCAGTGTTTTTTGTGGATATCTATTTGCTTTCATGGATTTGATGAGAATTTTGTTAAGATTTCCAGTTTTTTAGAAGCTGTTTCTTATTAGAATTATACTTGGAAGTGGCTATACACAGTACTGGGGTGGGGGGGGACGGGTCTGTTTCAAATGTAAAGTCTTGATGTTATTTCAAGTTTTGCTATAAAAACACAAGCTTGAATAAAATAGAACAAACCAACAGGTGTCATAAAGTATGTCCTGAGTCATATTAAGAGACTAAAAATTCTTAAGCAGTATTCCTTCAAGATAAACATAACTCGCGTGGAAAAAAACTAAAAAATTAGGTACATATTTTTACGTGACTCCATTGATTTTAATCATGTTTAAACTAGAGAGAATTCTGCATTTAAGATTCAGAGTGGAGAGAAAAGGGACTTACAATGCTCACTGGCTTTGTAATACTGATTTTCTAATTCCTAATGGTTTATATCTTAAAAAGAGCTGTTTTAATAACTGTATAGTGTATATATCTATGGATACTACAATACTGCTTGATTTTCTATCCTTTTTTCTAGGGCTGACTGCTCAAATGGCTTAATGAATAAAAGGATTTGTTTTCATGATTGATGATGTATTGGATACATTTAATCTTTTTATACCTGTTGCAGTAAAAGGCATTTGTGCTAGGACTGGGGATGGGGATATTTCAAGAATGACCTGAACAAAAAAACCCAACAAACCCAACGCAGCCCCTGCGTGTGTTGGCTTCTTTTATAGAATTTGCACAAATATAATGTTAAGATTGCTTACCAATTCTGAGCTGATGATTTATTCAAGGTTACACTTTGCTAGCCAGTGCTACTTTGGTAGTTCAGTGTAGCTACTTTTTTTTTCCCACAGCAATGTCCTTGCTTTTATTTTATGCCATATTCATATTTATTCTTTTTCCTCTCTATTTCCAGTTCTTTGCAAAAAACACCCCCCCAAAAGGTCTTTATGTCTATGGAGATGTTGGTAAGTTTCAGTTTCATCAGTTCCAATAGAATTTTCTTGAAATGCATGGTTATTCAAATTCTGGTGTCTAAAAGCTTTATGCTTATGTAGCATTATTGCTTTAGTGAATTTTCCAGGATTAGTGTTCTTCCACATTATGATGTTATTTCATACAGTTATACTCTGATGCTGTAGACTGTTGGATTTGAATGTGTTACTATGTGTATTTTTTTTCAGCTTTACTAATATTTAAGAATGCAATATAACAATTTAGTAAGTGATTGAGGGGGCCACTGAGAGAATTTATATATTCTAGTTGCAACAGTTCAGCATGAAAACATACTGGCGTTTCAGAAGGAAATACTAAGGATGTTTCCTAGATGTGTACGGAGCCTTTTGTGTGACCTTTGGGCTATCTGTTTATGGATCAAAGTTTTAAAACAGAAAAATAAAAATGCAGTTGTTCCAAGTTTTTGAACAGAAAATGTAACTGTTCTTCACAAACAGTCTGGGCTTATACTTTATTGTGTAGAAGTGCATAGTTTCATTAGTTCAAAGCTAATGAACAATCATTATTGTAATCAGTACATACTGTTCTTAAATTAACTACCTGTTGGTGTTTTTCTTTTTTGATTGTTTTTTGTTTGAAGGCACAGGAAAGACAATGGTGATGGACATGTTCTATTCTCACTTAGAAATAGAAAAGAAAAAGAGAGTCCACTTTCATGGCTTCATGCTAGATGTACATCAGAGTAAGTGCAGACACAGGTATTTATGATAATTTTATGAAATACAGTATTTATAAAAAGTCTGTGTTGTTCTCATATTCATATTAATCATCATATAAGCAAAAGTAAAAAATAGGAGAGAAGTTGAAGGATTTTAGCATTTTCTGTTACATCAGAGTAGATATTAATTGCATATTATTTCTCAAATATCTTTTCTTAAAGATTTCTTTATACTTGATTGTATAGAAAATTTGGGTGTATATTTAGGATTAAAACCTTAACTAAAAGTTTTCCAGTTATCAGTTAGCTTCCATGCAATCCAAAGAAGGCAATTGCTAAAACTGAAACAGTAAAGGTTAAATTCAGTCAGCATTTTGAATAAGCAATAACTAAATCAGGTGTAAATGCATGGGTGAATGAGAGCTGTTCTGGTTGGCAAACTTAGTAATGCTATCAGTAATTTAAAGGGAAAAATAATAGAAGGAAGTTCATCTTTAGTTTCAGGAAAATTTTCTGGCAAGGTGAATAAGGTGCTTCATTTTGACTGAGGTATTTTAAAATTTGGCTCCTTAAATTCTATGACTTCAAATGCTGTGAAATTGTTAAGTAATGCTGTGATTTAGAGGTGTTGTAACAGTTACATATTTCTTGGGAAGTGTAAACAGCTTCTGCCACATTTAGTGCACACTTTTATATCATTATTGGGTTACTGTTGAGATTTTCTGTTTCCATTTCTTGTCATTTATGCTTAATCTTAACAAAGGTAGCTTCTTAGTGCAGGTTCTTTATATTTTCCAGATGTTTCTTTATAGTCAGATGGAATACAACCCATGAGACAGTGAAGTATGGATGTAATAATCATACTTTGTGCCAATATTATCATCTTTACATTATAAGATATAACTCTGTTGCTACATCTGAGGTGTTTTTTTTTTAACTAAATGCATTCTAAGTATATCTTCAGAGCATGCGATGCACAGAGCTGTGCCATTGATTTGTAAACACTGTAAGGGTTCTTCACTGAGAAAAAGTTAATACAGAAAATGCCAAATTACTAAGTGAAACTGAAACTAAGGTCATGAATTGGGGCAAGATAAAACTAATTTATATCAGTTTTTAAAAGATGAAGTATAGCATAAAAAGTTTCTTTGTTTTTTGTTCACATTTTTCTAAACAAGAAAATACAAATCACAGAATTATGTGACCTTTTAATTGTTGCCTGGATGTGGTTGAAAACTGTTTTCCTCTCTTGAACCTGGACTAAATTTGAAGCATTCCTATTTTTACTGGACTAGGCTACTTTTTATGTAGTAGCTAAATAATTTTTTTTTCCCTGTCTTAGAAAATGAAATAAGAAATATTTGTCTGTTTTATTAACTCAGGAATACATCGCCTTAAGCAGAGCTTGCCAAAAAGAAAGGCAGGATTTATGGCCAAATCATATGACCCAATTGCTCCAGTAGCAGAGGAAATAAGTGAAGAGGCTGCTCTTTTATGTTTTGATGAATTTCAGGTAAGAAATCAGAGGTTGTTCCTTCACTTCAAGGGAAACTTAGTAAAATTACTTTTGATCTTAAAATATGACACTTTTTACTGCTAATATAGTCTTTGAATCACTGGCCAGTAGTGAACTATAAAGTCACTTCACAGTTTTGACCATCATGTTGTTTGTTTTGTTTTGTTTTGGTTTGGTTTTGGTTTGTTTTGTTTTTCCAGGAGATAAGATGTAAATTGGTGGTATAAGTGCCCCCATAGTTCTTTCATTTACCAGTCTAATTACTGGTCATACAAATCGGTATTAGAGTTTGGTGAGAGGCTTATGAGTATTTCAGGACAGCGACCATCATCCTGTACTGAGCCTGTACAGTGCCCAGGGAAGTAGCTGCCTGATACTTGCTTGGCATGTCTGGTCTTTGCTGTAGTTCATATACTGCAGCAAAATTGTCTCAGTGTGATTAAGGATGTGGGAATAACATGTCAAATTCAACCTAAATTCTTTCCGAGGTTTATTGGCGCCTTTGGCATGGCAGTGCCAGATTATATCAACATAGCTAACATTGTAAGAAGCTTTTATTGAATTACATGTGAAGTTTAAAAATAAACTCATAAAATGATCTTTGCCCAAGCTAACTGTTTTTTTTCATTTGTTTTTCACAGCCTGTGAATTGTTTTAAGGGCATGTCACAAATTTAGGTGTAAAAATTGCTTTATGAAATTTTTAGGAGAGAGGTTAAAGAGGTATTAGGTGTCTCTCCTCAGCTGAAACGTTTTTTTAATTCAGAGAGAAAATGCAGAGCAAGATAAAACCAGACCCGTGTTAGTTCTCAGATCACCAACTGTGAATTGTCTGTGTTACGCTCTTAAATTAATACATTACTGAAATGGGGAGAGCAATTTATATCTCCTAGCTATTATTTTACATGCCTGTGCACCTGAGAAAATAACCATTTTATGATCAGCTCCCATGATGAGGAGTTTTGTAGCTGTGAAGTAGGTGTTCTTGTTTCAAGTGACTCCTGTGTTTTTCAACAAAGGGGTAGTCCTTTGAGCCAAGGTTTCAGATTGTGAGGAGCTGCGTGATCATTTAAATTGTACTTTATCTAGTGAATATGAATGCTGGGCTTCCAAAACTTGCAGTTTAAAATCTAACTACAGAGACCATTGTATTTACGCTACAAAGAAATGGGAAAGTTTGGAGAGGGCAGGGAGGAGTGTTAACTGTCATGACATCAGATATTCAAGTGGTAGATAGAGGCATCTTTGCTGTACCATGTGTTAGTGTAAGTACCTGCTTTTATGTATAAATGCCCACTGCTTTCCTTCCCTGGTGTTGCTGTGTTTCCAGACTGTCATGTGCGTACATCTTAAAGGGAAGAGGCTCTGGTATTTTGTGATTCTAAATTGGTTGCCTGCTCCCTCTGCTGACTTGCTTGAGGTACATCAATCACTTCAGTTGTAAAAATCACCTGGTTTTTCGCGTGTGTCACAGCAGAGAAGGAACTGTTCTCTAAAATGTGAATTTTAGACTTAGTATTCTTATGTGAATACTTAAAATGTACTTGTTCTGGGTGTAATAATGTTCTAAATTAACAGATTTCTGAAGAGCTAAATTTCTTGACAGGTTTTCTGTAGCACAGAATGCTATGCAGGCTTTGCCTGCTGAAGAACAGTCCCAGCTTTCTGAAATTTTGCAGAAGGCACTGAATTTGGGATTCTTTCTGCTTTCTGGGAAACTTTCTGTGTAAATAGCCATAAGGTAGTGCAGTGACTGGAAAACCAGCTCACATGGTGACATGGTTAACGTTGATAATAAGGAGCCAAATCTAATTCAGGACATTTGCAGCTCATTTCCACCATGGAGGTAATGGCTGTGTTTCACTTCAGTACTCAGATTTAAAGAATTAGATAAAAGGAAAACTGTAAGGAGTTGGAGACTCAGAACATACGCTGCTCTGACTTGCAGACTAAGCTGCTGTCTGTTTTGGCAGGCAGGAATCAAGCTGTGTCGCTATGACGTCGACAAAACAGTTGTGTAGAGGTCAGAAAACGATTGAGATTTGCTTTAAACCCTTCAGGCCGCTTTTAAATACCTGTTTGGAAAAAAAAAAAAAGAGCTGAAAACATTAGTTTGTTTGTTTGTCTTGAGATCAGGCACACGGATGAGTGATATTGTGACAGGGACAGCAAAGAGTATTGTTAATGTTCATATTCCAGAGGAAACAGAATGCAGAACTTCAGAAGACAAAAGCATTGCTGAGGTTGCACATTCCTCTTTGACAGTGGGCTAAAGCTAAACAGAAGTACTCTGAAATGAATCTTCTTGTGAAGTGTGGAGGACTGTTGAACAAGTGGAGATTTGATGAATTGCCATAGAAAAATGATTTGGTACTTCTAAAAGTAGTGTTTTGTTTTCCAAAACACGGTATTAAAACCCCACCCAACTATTTCTAAAGTGTTTCTTTCTGCAAATACCGTGGGATGGCACTAAGCTTCTGAGTTTGTCCTTTCTGAAGCAGGTATTTTGTCAGCATTTGCCTAACCCACAGGCTGTCACATTATTAGAACATTGCTACTTATTACTGATCTTTGTCATACAGTTTATTGTAAATATGAAAGTATTTTTTTATATCAAGAAGTCTTATGCCATTCTAAAAATGCGTCCTCATTTTGTAGAAAAAAACAGAGAATTTAAGCCATTTTTAATTCTAATTTTAATTTTTCAGAACACAGAGGTTGGCCACGAAAAGAGCCTAGTTATTGTTTAGCAATCAAATAACTATACACAGATAACTAGAAGCTCTAATTTCAGTGTGTGACTCTACCCTGTGTTCATATTATCGATAATGGAAACAGAATCCCTACTTTTTGGTATGCTGAAGGATATACAGTGTAAGTCTTTGTATGCTATCAGTACCACTTAGACTTAAAGCAAACTACAATGTAGGGAGTTTTTACTAACCTGCATGCTATTAAAAGACTCTAATAAAAATTAGTCTCCTATTTTTGTGCTAATACTAATTGCTTGTAATACATGCTCATGTTTGTCATTCATTGCGTGGAACTGTACCAATCAGTGGCTGACTGAGTCTCAGGCACTTATACATGTAAATTAACTATTAGTCTAGTGGGTTTTTCACTTTTTATCTTTTTTTTTAATTATTATTTTTTCTATTATTTTTTTTAACATGAGTCATAATGGGAAAGCAGCACTAGGTCAGAAAAATCTTTTCTCTTAAATGTTAATGAAATGTCTCCATTCTCTCCATTAGCAGGCTCTCCTTATTGGTAATTTGTAGCCTCTGCTTTTATTCTGTCTTGCAGTGAATGCTGGATACAGTAAAAAACATGAGAAATGACAGTACTCTAGCTACTGTCTTCTACCTTCTTTACTTTGTAGAAATTTTCTGTCTTTCCCAAGCTGTATTAGAAACAAGAGCTCATATTTGCATCCCAGGTCTGAAAATGGCTCTTGCTTTTTGATGGAGCTTTGGAGAGTTTTGGGTTTTTTAATGAAATTGAAAACATCAGAATTCCACATCAAGTTGCAGTTCTAGTTAATAAGAGAATGTTATTATGCTTTTCTTTTAGGTGAGGACTAATATTCTTTCCCTACCTGTTTTCTAAGGGTAGCATGCTTTATAGGATTTTTAAGCAAAAAAGTTTGGAACAGCATAGTTTACAGAATATGTTTTTAAAATCTGGTTATTAGCTTTTCTTTGTGATACAAGAAATCTGGTTACCCCTACAGTGTGCATGTATATTGATTCCCTGTGTGTCTTGGTTTTTAGGAATTTTAGCATTCAGAAGAAATAAATTATAAGCAGGTATATTAGACATATACTATAATAGTGAATTACGACATGCTTTTTGGAATGTTGGATCTCATCACAGATGTGCAAATCTGAGGGGTGTGTTACTGATTGTGTGAAAGTTTGGTTTTGAAAAAAGAAAAAATAATCCATATGAATGTGTTCCATGGAACTAATTGGAAGAAATCTTTGCATGAACAGGTGCTTACGTATGGTTCTTTATGAACAATATTGCTTCCAGACTACCTGTCAAATGGAACCTAAGTCTTTTATTGTCTTTAGTGTAGAATTAATTTATGGTTTTTCTGCTGCCCAGAATGATCATGTAGAAATGGGGAATGACAAGGAGTGGGTGGTGGTGGAGTAGGGTTAAAAGTTACACTGGGTTAAATAGTCTTCCTGTAGGTGTATTACTGTTGCAACAACATACAGTGTGAACCGGTGAAAGTGTAGCAGGCTGTCAGTGTGTTGGGTAATGAGTGTATATAGCTCTCGGGATGCCACCACTGTTTTATTTCCTCAGAACTGGGGTCTGTTTTGGTAAGTCAAAATGCAACAAGTGTCTAGATAATAATCAGAGGGAATGCAGGAGAAACAAGTGTAACAATAATAGAAATGGCTGTAACAATGGGATTTTCAGATAATTATTTATTTGTTTGTTTGTTTGTATTTTCATTAGTACAGAGTGGTTTCTGTTTCCTTTAATTTCTTGGTGCTGTAAAGCAGGTTCTTTAAGCTAAACTTAGAGATTGAAAGAAATTTCACTTCATGGCTGATTTTTAGTCATCTTATTCCCTCCTGGGGGGGCCCCCCCCCCCCCCCCAGTTATCACTTGTCACACCCTTTTTTTTTTTTTTTCCTTTTCCTTCGCTTTTTGTGCCTGAAGGTTAGAAGAGGCTGACTGTGCTGGAAGTGACTGCCTGCCTTTTGATTATGCATGGACAGTAATAGAAGGCACTTAAAAAGAACAATGAAATTGCTTATTTTTGTGATGGGCCATCTGTTGAATTGTTTTTTTGCAACAATCACACAATAGTATCTATGTCATATCATTCTATTTTCAACAGCAGCTGATTATGTATAGTTGGCTACTTGTCTTTTTTTCTGAAGTCCCATGACCATTTAAATTCACCTCTGCAAACCTTTGCCTCAAAGGTAATAGAAATGCAAAACAGCCAGTGTGTATTTTCTTTCTGTCTTCTGTTTTTTTATGTTGTTTCTAATTAATTAGGCCTCTTAAATGTTTAGATCTGTTTTCTCTGTCTCCCACCTGTAGTTTTATAATAGAAGTTAACATGGAATCATTTAGCAATTGGTAAAGAAATGGCGGAGTTCCGCAATAAAGAGCGGGCAAGTTTTGAAAGACTGTGGTGCATTCACTGCTTATTAATTATCCCTTTTATTTTTTCTCACCAAGCAATAATTAGAATCTTTCTCCGTGGCTTTCACTAACAAGCGTTTTTTCTAGCTACAAAGCCACTTGCAGATCTATTGCAGCAGAATCTGAAAGCAAGATAAAACAAATGTGTTGTCTTCTACAGGTCACTGACATTGCTGATGCCATGATTCTGAAGCAGCTTTTTGAAAATCTGTTCCAAAATGGGGTTGTCGTTGTGGCAACATCTAACAGGCCTCCAGAAGGTAAAACAAACATGCTACCAATATTATCCAAATACAATGAATCGCAGTAACTTGTAAAACAATTGTATTAAAGTCAATACAGTGTTTAATACTGATGCACGGATTGACTCCACAACTCGTTAGAAGTTGTAAAGTAGGTATGCTTTTTATTCAGCGCTGAGACGCACGGGGATAATTCCTCAAAGGCACGTGTACCTCAGTGTTGTTTCCCTCTACATTTATAAGGTTGCACCATACGCTTATACATATTCATGTCCTATCCCCGCTTCGTATTACAATGAGCTAGAAGGTCCTTTGCGCCTGCGCAGTGCCCCCTCTGGTCATGGGCAGGGGTCTCAAGATGAAGTAAATGAGTGTTCCTCCTGTGGGTAGGGGTCTTCAAGATGAAGTAAATGAGTCTTCCTCTTCTTGAACTTTTCACTTTTTAGTCTTCACGTATGGCCTTAGGGTTTGGTCACAGCCATAAACCATCTGCTTCTCCCCCTTAACAGTAGATTCAGGGGTTTGCTTTTCCTTATCAATAGGTGCTTATCAGTAGAATCAGGCGTCTGCTTTTCCTTGTCAATAGAACCAAGTGTCTGCTTTTCCTTGTCCATAGCTAGTGCCTTTGTTCTGCTTAGTAGGCATGATAGGTACAGACAGTACCTTTGGTTAAGCAAGCCAATTCCTCTAGTCCCCCTGTACAACCCCCCTGTACAACCCCCCTGTACACTGGTCAAACCTCTGCATCAATACTAACAAACTCTCTAGTCTGCAAGAATCTGAGATACTCCAATTTGTCCGGGTTTTTTGTGCTCTAAGGAAGAAAGGTTTTCACTAAGAGGTATTTCTTCCTTCTCTCCAACTCAAGCCGTTTCTTTCCTCCAGATGCCTTCTGTGTTTTCTGACCTTCCCTAAACCAGAGGAAGGGTATTTGGGGCTGGGGAGTTGATGAGAGGTAAAATATTGCATTGGTTTTGGACAATAGGAAAAAATCATATTCTGCAAAAGAGAGGGTAAATGAGAGTACATTCTTTTCTGGTTTCTAACTCAGAAACTTGCAGACTTGATCCACTAGTTTAAAGGAGAGCCCCTTATGAAGATGTCACACTCAGCCTGGTTTGAGATCAGTCACTGGGAATTACTTAGGAGAGTTATTTCCATTGCTAACTATATTTTTAAAGGGAGAGTAGCTAGCTGGATAGATCCTCCTACAAAGTCCCAAAATCTGCATGGGTTTTAACCAAGCAGTAATTGTATTTTTTCGTATAGGAGAAAAGGGTTTGTTATAGAGTAGTATAACTTGCAGGTTTTATGACACTTTAAATTGGTTAATTTCAAACGTTTGCAAAAAATAGTGAAGAGTTACAGTATTAACTGTAACTACAGTTATTTTTTCTACCCAAATTGAGTAAGAGGATAGCTAAAGATTTGCAATGCAGTCTATCTAAAGGGGGGAGAGATTGAGAGAAGAAAACACTTGTGTTTTTACTAGCGGAGGAGGTCATTTCCCATTGGTTTATTTTCCTGTTTTAAGCAAACAAGATGAAATCATAACTACTGTATTTGGATTAACCATAGATAAACTGGATGGCAGTTTGGGGCCATCCTTGTGTTTTTTGAAGCCTACTCTTTCAAGTTCAGGAGAGACTTTTATCTTAACTTGGGGATTGTATTCCACTTACTGAACTGAGACATTAGTCTGTGACCATTATCATACAGGGTGTTGTTTTTTTTAGTACATACTAAGTTACTGTGTCAACCTGTAAGTCATCCACTTGTACTAGCTACCCAACAGACGATGTCAAGAATGACATCTCCACAACTAAACTATCTTGCAGTCCAGATGTTGATCAATGCCTGTCACTTACTCTCCTCTCGCTACTCCTACGTACTCACTGTGTGTGTCTGAAATCCTACTGCAGGAAAGAGAGTTGGGTTAGTGTAGTGTGCTACATCAAGGTTTAAGACTGAATTAATTTGTTTCCTGTGGATACAAAGGGGAACAGTGGCTTTTTCATTAGAGGGTAGATGTGCCCTGCTGCTGACCACTAGTGATACACTTAACCGTATTAAACTTCCTCCCCAAGGGAATATGAGGGGAAATACTGAGGTGCAGTGTTTGAGGAATCCTGGCTTCATTTCTTTACTGAAATTACTGCTTGTTTTTCTCATTCTTACAAAACAGAGGTATAGTACAAAACTCCTTGGCCTTAGTATCTAGAAGAACTAACAGAAGTAGCTGTCTTATGGTACTGTTACATAGTCAGGGGTTTTTGCAAGTAAATATGCGATTGATTGTTTTTTAAACAAATGTATAGCTATCATGATTTGCAGAATTATGAATAATACATGGCTTCATACAATTTTGTTAGTAATTAGGGTGTGGAATCACCTTCACTGATAATTTTCCTAAATGTTTCTGTGTGCGTATCCAGTTTTGTGGAAACTGTTTTGTAGGTGTCCTGTGAGTTTCTCATACATACATGGTGAGTCTCCTGCTCACCATGAAGTGTTGGTAGGGCATAAAAACTTTAGCCTGTTTGTAACCTTTAGGCAGCACAGGGCATATAGGTGGTATTAATAATCTGGTGTGGTCTTGGTGGGGAATTTTGGTGACATCTCAGCTGGGTGCCTTTATTCTTTTCTTTATTCCTTCAGTCAGTCATAGGTGCTGTATTGCCGCCTTATAAGGCTTCCTAATATTAATGAAACAGAGCAGCCCCTTACAGCTTTGAAGTGGTAACATTTTCAAAGAAGTCATTCTGTTATGAACATGTTGGGCAGTTGGATAGTCTCCAGAGAAGAAGTGTATACTCTATAAAATTTAGAGATAAATAAGATATAAATGCTGCTTTATGGTTTTTTTTTTTTACTAATTCACATTTTCTTTGAGTGTGGATGTGCATTTTGTTATGTAATATTTGTTTTTAATTCAGTGGTATTTTTAGTAACCTTGCATAAGTTTGTGTATTAATTTAATTTTCTTTTTATTTTTTGGCCTTTGGAAAGCGATGTTTGCCTGGTAGAATTGCTAGAAGATAAAGCGTACCACAGTACACTGAACTAGAATGATGCAAACTTTAGAAGCTCAGATAGTGTATTTTATTTGACATTGGTTTTTTCCCCTCTGCCAAACACTTGGGACTTAGCAGTTGCATAGTTTTGGCCTTATAATTGTACCAGTGTGTACTCAGCATTACAAATCTTTTTTATGTCCTTACTTTAAAACAGATGCTGGTCTTACTCCTTTTGCTTAAATCAGTTATATTTCAGTAGAGATTGAAGTCATCTTTTGTTTGCTGCCTTTTTCAGAGTTTTTCAGGATGTTCCATTCTTCCTTAAGAATGTACCAAATTTTCATACAGCAAAAAAAAGAAATCAGTCTCAGTTCTCCTCTTCTGCCTTTTGTTCCTTCTCTCTCTAGCAACACTGAGTTTTATTTGCCAGACTAAAAGACAAGCTGACATTGTTATTAATACGAAGTAGCAAAATGGTACTGATTTCCTTTCTTTCAGATCTCTATAAAAATGGTCTTCAGAGAGCTAATTTTGTACCATTCATTGCTGTGCTGAAGGTAAGGAGAGTCACTTGTTAAATGCTTTTCAGTTTTCCCTGCTGTATTAATAGATTAGAAATTTGTACAGGATTGCTTTGATACTAGTTTCCAGATAAAATGTATATGCTTTAACTGTTTGGGGTGAAAGTAATTGAAGGTAAGGCAAAAAGAACCCTTTCTGTATACAATTAAAATGTTTTGAAAGCTGGATATTTTTAGTATGATAGAAAGTTACCTTTTTGACTAAAGTAACAGAATTTTTTTGGGTCTTTGTACTGGTGTGCATGTGCTGTGTAATATAGTATTCCTGTAACAGCTATACTGTGTTGTACTTGTGGACATCTTGCATTTTTTTATGCTACAAAACCTGGTGTTTCATTGGTGTAAAGAGAGTAGTGTTTGGTATGTACCCCTCAGTTACCTTGTTTCTGGGTCTTATGTATAAGTAGTTTCCTGAATGGGTATTTGTGAAGTTTCACATACTGTTCAGCAAGTAGCAGCTCTGAAGACAGCTTCCTGCAGTCCGCTTACTGTCTTCTCTGCCTTTAGCTCACACCGAGCCGTGTGTGTCTGTAGTAGTGTCAGTCTCATCTAACCTGTTCTCTGACAGTGGCTTTCACAGCTTGGACTACTCCTGTCTTAGTTTTCTCTGGGCTCAGAGCCTCCTGCAGAGCTTTTGTTTGGGGTTTAGTGGGGGTGAATGAGTGGGTTGGTTTTGTTTGTTTCAGAAATTAACTTCTATGGTCATAAGTCTTAAAATAGGGCTTTAGAACTAAAGGTAGTTCAAGTTCAGCATAGGAGCTTTAAATTCCTTTAAAGTTCTTGGGAACATGGGATGAAGGGAAAGTATTTACAGTACATTTCTGTGACGAGGTGCTTCACTTGAAATAGATTTCAGGCTGTTTCTGTTCCTCACACATGGAATGCATAGACACCAGATACCATGGTAACTGCTATATAAAAATCTTTCCTTGTCTTCAAATGATAAAAAGAAGTGGTTTCTTTCCTAGATCTAGAGTTATCCATGCTCATCCTTAATTTTGTTGTTGATTTTATTTTCTTTGGACAATCTAATTCCAGTATCTGTACAAAGACAACTACAAACCAATTTCTGTGGAATAAGCAAAAAGTGAAACAGCACTCTATGGAAGATACAGTTACCTTGCAAAGTTTGTTTGTATTGCCTTTCTAGGTGATAGATTACAGAGGACAAGTGATTGCTGAATGCCTGCAGTGAAAGGTGCAATTGATAAATTCCACTTTTTGAGGCCATGAAAAGCTACAAATCCTCCAGCTGGTAGCTGCAGAAAAGCTTCAGGTTTGTGTAGTTGGGGAGGCCAGTAAGGCTATTGACAGCATTTCCCGCCCTATGCGTGTCCCCTGCCCAATTCTGAACCTGTCGGTGTTCTCATCATTTGAAATCTTACGCAGTGTGAGATCTAATGTTTCAGTGATTCCTTAATTCTGTAACTAAAGGAGTAGTTTTCATAAGCAGGAAAAAACTCTCAGTTATCAGTTTGTTGTTGTGGATAAAATTCTTCAGGAATTCTTTATGGGAGGGCTTAGTTTCTGCAAGAGAGAAGAGTGCTTCTTCAGGTCATGAAATTTCAGAGACAGCTTTACAGAGATAAGTATTAGGGAGGAAAATCTTTTAATTCTGTAATTGCAATTAGATTCAGGCCCTTCTGATTGCGCTTTTAATCTTGCAGGATTTCTTACTGAGCATCTTAAAGTGCATGAAACTCCTAAGTGATTTTTTTCCTTTTTTCTTTTTTTTTTTTTAACAAAGGCAGGGAAACACAATCACTGCTCACTGTTACTCTGTGCAAGTGCTGAGAGCAGAAATACTCCACAAATTGTTGATCTAAACCAACAAGAAATAGAAGCATTTTCTAAACGTTTTAAAACTGGTTTACAAATAAAGCTGCGTATCTTAGAATTGTAGAATCACAGAATCATCAGGGCTGGAAAGAACTTTAAGATCAAGTCCAACCAGTAACCTAGCACTGCCAAGTCCACCACGAAACCTTGTCCTTAAGTGTTACATCTACACGTTTTTAATCCCTCCAGGGATGGTGACTCCTTCACTGCCCTGGGAAGCCTGTTCCAGTAATTGACAACCCTCTTGGTGAAGAAATTTTTCCTGATGCTCAACCCAAACCTTCCCTGGTGCAATTTGAGGCCATTTTCTCTTGTCCTACCACTTCTTATTTGTGAGAACAGCCACCTCCTCACTACAACCTCCTTTCAGGTGGCTCCAGAGAGCAATAAGGTTCCCCCTGAGCCTTCTTTTTTCCAGGCTAAACGACCCCATTCCTCTAAGGACTTGTGCTCCGGACCCTTCACCAGCTCCATTGCCCTTCTCTGAACCTGCTCCAGTACCTCAATGTCTTTCTTGTAGTGCGGGTCACAGAACTGAAAGCAGTATTTGAGGTGCAGCCTCATCAGTGCAGAGTACAGGGAGATGATCACTGCCCTGGCCTTGCTGAACCTCAAGCAGTTAGCCTCAGCCAGTTGACGCAGCGTGCCCATATCCCTCTGCAGAGCCTTCTGGCCGTCAACCAGATCAACACTCCCACACATCCCCCTCATTTTTAACAACTTGATGCAAGAGCTGAAGTGAGGCTCTTAAAAAAAAATAAAAATAAAATCACACTTTAATTTACTGGTTTGCAGTAATTTTGGCACATTTTAGTTCATGCAGATACTTAATGAAGACATTTGCATCAACCATTGAGTGTTCTGGAATCCTGATTCTAGTTCAGTGGCTAGTTCCAGTGCTTCATTCTCTGGGCAATCAGGAAGGAAAGCTCCTTCAACTGTTTGTTATGTAGAGTCTGTAACTTAAATGAGCAGTTCTTGAGTTTCCAAAGGTTTCCTGGAACCACAGTGTGTAGCTCTAAAACATGAGGCTGAGTCAAAATGCCAAATATTTAACTTCTGCATTTTGTCAGGTTTTCTTCATGCAGCAGACCTGCACTGCACTAAATTCTAACTGAAGGTTAGGAAGTTTTAGAGCTTTTCACAGCCTGAGGGTACCTTTTAAAGATACAGTTCTAAAATAAAATGTTTGCTTTGACTACCCACATTTTGCTTAGAATCAACCAAAAACCTGTTGTCAGTGTTGTCAGTATTGTCAGTAGGACGTGAAATTACTGTAATCTTTCTGTAGTGAACTTCTTTTGTTCTTCTGCTGATAGGGACCAAATATTTATTTATTTTAAAACTATTTGGTTAAAAAGACTTTTAACCATAAGCATTGTGCACTCACCTCAAACAGAAAGCAGTATATTTTTATACACTCTATTGTTCACTGTATTTCTCAGAATAGATCAGTGATTATTTATTGCCATTGTTGCCTGCTCTGGTGTTAATTAAAATACACCCTTTCTTACAGAGCAGGAAATGGAGGATTTTAAAAGTGTTTTCACTTTTCAATAACTTAGTTCGAATATGTGAAAAGTACTTGTTTAAACCATTTACAGCTGTCCCTAGGGAAACTGTGGGAGTCAGTTTTGTACAAAGGCGTTGGGTAGATGTAAAATGTCTTTGATGGGGCAGTCAGCTTTTGTCCAACCACCTGTGTGAGAAATGCAGGGATTTGTTGATTGGGGGATCTGCCTCTTTTACCCCCTCCTTACTCCCCCCGCAAAAAAAAAGTCATCTCCTTGATGAAATTGATTTGTCAGTTTGTTCCAGTCTAATGGTGTGATAGCCCAGCAGCTTTCACTATGTTGAATAGTTAAAACCTGCTTTTGAGGTCAGTGTCAGCCACTCTGACCCTTGTGAACTGTCACCTGAGTCAGAATTGCAGGGATTAGGCCTTTGATATTGTGATGGCTTTGCCTATCAATTGACTTTTTCATTACTGAAGATGTTGGGCCTTTTGTTTCCCTTCTTAGTATGTAACGAAGCAAACTCCTAAGTAGAAGGAGCATTTGTTCGTGTTCTTTCTGCAAGTAATAGAAGTACTCATCTTTTGTGAAGTGTACCTAATTAAACATAGAAAAAGTAAAAATAAAAAATAGAGCATGATTGCAAGTATTTTTTTGCTGAACATCAGTATAATTTCTGGGTCATTTCAGTTTGACAAATTTGTGAGTGTCAACTAACAAAATGTATATGGAAAGCAAGGTGTCAGATTAGAAGTTACCAGCACTTTCTACATTCAGCCTTCTAAGCCTGTGTGTGTGTTAAATTTAAACACAAGGGTTATTTGAATTCTGTAGTTTAGAGCACTTAACTGTTAATATTTTATAACGTACCTATTGCCTTAGTGCATTCACTAGATTTTAAGCTGTTTGGTTTGCTTACTTTCTATGTCCGTCTTACACGTGCTTGATTCTGGGAGGTTTATTTAGGTGTAGATCAAAACTTTACCTTGGGATAAAAGAGTTGCTCAGTGTTGGGCTCCCTGCCTTCTCACTGCTTTTGATTGTTAAGGATTTCCTGAGTTCTTGCTTGGTTTGGTTACTCCTTGACTAAAATGAATAAATCAAAGCATATTGTAGATATGGAATAGTTGATTCCTGCTGTATCAGGGTAAATTAGTCTAATTACACGTGGCAGTTTTATTTGCTTGTGATGTAATGTGAAATGAGGTCCTACATCCCCCCCAAAAGCCTGAGCCAATTAATAAAGCTTTTAAGCTCTTTGTCACAGGCCACCATGGAGGTCTGCAGAGAAGAACTTTAATCCAATAAACATTTCATTTAGATCATGAAAAGAAAGCATGAGAAGAAGCTCCTACAAGAGAGGGTGTTACCAGCAATTCTAGCCACGAAGAGATGTGAGGAATTTGCCAAATTAACAGAGGCCTTCATATTTAACACATAAATGTGTCAAAACTAATAATAGAATAATTTAATTTGAGTTGAACCTTATATTGTTAAAATTCTAAGAAGCCACAACTGTTTTCTTCAAAGACTTTGCTGTTGAGTTGGGTGGACGGGGCAAGGGGAGGTTGTGAGAAACCCAGATAGCAAATAGCACTGGCCGAAGCTGGTGGAAGGGGGGGG